CTGCTCCTGCATAGCCTTCCTCCTTCACCTGCCCTCTTTCTCCTCCTGCCCTCATCATGTGCAGTGTCCTGTGTGCCTTAACATGAGAGGTGACCTCAGTGCTTCTAACACACACAAGCAAACTGGTTCAAACTGAGAAAGATCCAGTGTCCATGTGGGAGGCATTACCCTGTGTGCTCTGATTTGGAGAGGAGTGACCTCATTCTTGGACATCTCCATGCTTCAGTCATCTGCAGCAAGGTGATAAACAGTTTAGGCCTTGAAGTCGACATGAATTGTCAGTTTACTTCCATGATGTGATGCATTTCCAGGATATGCAAGGAAAAAAATGTACAGTTGACTGGATGATGAAGGTAGGCACTGGATACCAGAATAGCTATTGGTTAGTATTATGCAATAGCCTGTGTGGCCTATGTAAAGTGCAATGATGAATTGTTCAAAATGAGACCAGGATCATGCATCTAATAGGGTTATGTTGACTTTGACTATACGAGTGACCTCAGAAACACAGGCGAGAACAAGGTAAAAGGGTCCATTGAAGGTTGACGGCTTGCAGAAGGTGGGACGTCAGGAAGCACAAAGTGAGGAAGTTGCAAATGTGTGTGTGAGTTGCATAAAACAGGAATCTAAAAGAAACATGCATATACAGACTGACAGTGAACTAACAAGGATTTTGCAAATGTTGATGTGGCTTGATGCTCAGTATTTCCACCTTCCCAAGGAATCTTCTCAGCTTAAGGGTCTGTGAGTTTGGACAGGTGTAGTTCCATTGGAAGCCTGCATGCAGTCTAATCTCAGCACATCGCTCAGCGGCTGTTTAAGGGTGTGAATGTACCATGGTGTGCCTGCTTTGTTTTGCATTCCCCCCCAATATCATCCAGACAGACATTTCCTTAATGACCAAAGTAAGAACACCAGTCCAAGATGCAGTTAAGCTTGGGTCCATAACTTATTCTGAAAAACATAGCAGTATCTAGGTTAAGCATATTCACTATATAGGGACACATTGAGGGTAGACTGAGTGATGCTTTTACAGTTGTAAAGTTTGGTCTCTGTGGACATAAGATGTTTCCAGATGCCATGCTCTCTCATTTACAGTGGGAGCGCAGTTCGCCGTTATCACAAGTGAACCTCTTGCAAGCCTCTGAATGTCATTATCTCATTGCCAGCAAACTCACAGTCTCTCATTATCTTTAACCGTCTTTGTTGCCATGACAATCTGCCTGCTCATTATTAGAATCGTCACAGTATCAAAATTATCTTAAATGTAATTAAAGAAAGGGCCCAAAGGAAGGGGACACAAGCAAGAAAAGTAGTTGAGTAGGTCCCACAATGCTTTACACTTTCAGTAGCTCCATATATGCTTAACCCCTTCTCCAGTTCTCAGAAGAATATTTGTAATATTTAACTTATGAACAGAGATTATTATAGATGTTTTCAACAAGTATTTAATGATGCAGCATCAAGAGGGCTTGTTGATGAAACTGCAAATATTTGAGATAAAATGTTTTAAATGAATTGTAAATGGTCATTTTTTTTTAGAACTCCAGTTTTCTTTTTGAAGGTAGCTTTTTGTGATAAGTTTTTTGACTGCCATGTCTTCTTATGGAATAAGTTGTATATTATGCAAATGTTATGTTTAAAAAAAAAAAACATGTATGTGCCTTGCTTTAGTTCTTTTCATGTTGTTTTTCATGTTTAAACAATGTGTAGAGGTTATGTGGCCGGTCTTTGTCCATCAGATGTTCAGAATTATATCCCTTTTTTGGTGCGGTCTGCTCTGTGGACAGAGCGCAGATGTCTGGCATGGGAATGGCTTTTATAAAAGCTTTATCATGCTTATCGCTTCAAAGGACTGGGTGTCGATCCAGTGTTAATTGAGTTGTTACGGCCCTGTCCCCCGTCTTCTGTATATATAGCTGGATGTTTGTCACTGAATCTTCATCCTTTTTTAAAAACTTTTCTCCACTTTAAAATTCTCATTCTGTCATTTACTTATTGTCATGTTTGCTTGTCTTTTTTTAATGCCAGAGGGGGGAAAAAAAAACTATGAAAAATAAGGAAATTCTGAAAACACTGAAGTCAAACTTATTGTTGGCGCAAGATGTTATTTAATAATGAAAGCTGTTTTCAATTCCATCCTATTTGCAGAGACATTTAAAAAAAAAAGTGAGAAAAAATAAAAAGAAATCTGCACTGCTCAGTGTGTGCAGGCTGTATATTGTGTTGCTGTTCTGCCATTGACTTGTATGAGACCTGCTGTGACTGGCATTGGGAACAGTGGTGTGCTTGCAGTGACTGCATCAACAGCCACCTGCTCTAAATAAACATTATATACAAACACTCTCATAGCCATCCAATTACTGAACACCAAGACCAGCTGGAAACTGCTCAACACCATAGTGTTTCATTAGTTAACATATAAAATACTAAGCACTCCTCAAAAAACTAACAAGCTTGTACCAAAGGGCCACACAGCCCTTGGCAGGTTTATTTCTCAACTCAAAATGCATTAAGGACACTAGAGGGAGTCAATGCCATACTATGTGCGAGTAAAAGACTCCAATTCACTCAATACAAGCATTAAAAGTTTATGTATTTTATACAAGTAACTTATGAGCTTGAGACTGTTCCAACCGATATCCTCTCTCAGCTTAATGAGGGGGAAAAAAATTCAACGCTGCTGAAATCTTGTCCTAAATGTGTAGAGCTAGATCGAGTTGCTCTATGCCACAAAAAGGCACTTTGATATCCAAAATAGCAGCTGTTTTTGTGCCTTTGGTCTTAGATTAGCATTGACTTGTCTAGCACACTTCAGGTTAAATGGACAGTTCACCCAAAAATGAAAGTTCTGTCAATTTACCCATTTTACCAATTTACATAAAGGTTGTATTCATTGTATGGACAAAAAACATTTATAAAAAATATAATCCACAGAAGAAAGCAAGTCGTACAGGTTTTGGACGACATGTAAATGAGTAAAAGATGACTAATTTTAGATGATTCTTTTTTTGGGCGAATTATCAGTTTAAGCTGAGAGAGGAACTCAACTTCACATTAATGCAACAGTGTTCCTTTCCCCTCCATTGACCTCTTCAAAAGTTATGCCGGGATGCTCAGTGATAATGAAATAAGTGCTTTACACAAACTAATTACTGTTATTCAGTTCAAAATTATTTAGTAACTAGCATGAATTACATTATAAAAGTCTTACTAGATTTGCATGGACAAAATCTGGCTTCCACGGCAAACATGGAAGAACGCATGAAGCAGTTGCACCTTTGGTAAGGAAACATCACATTATTTATACAAAATCATGATGGTTGAGTAGGTCATTACAGCGTCATACAAAGGTTTCACATCGGTCAACAGGCAGTTAGAAAACATCTGAGCCGTTCTGGGTGCTCAGTTGGCACTGTCAAATCTGAGATAAAAACATGGGTACTGTGTTGTCCAGAACAATGCTCTGCTGTTTCAGGCCCAAGTTGGTGTAGTGTAGGTCTTCATTCAGCCCTGGGATGATGGTCGCTCCATGCATCTCCACTGGCGTCAGACTGAAGTTTAGGCACTCACTCAGTCGTGAGACTGCAGCTCATGAAGGTCAAAGTTCAACACTCATCGCTGAGGCCACTGACGCAGCAACTTTTCCATGGACTGCAGGGAACATGACCTTAGACTGGAAGTCTTACAAAATCTAAATCATACTTTTATAGGAAAAGATCGTGTGTGAATACATAAAATACAGTGTTGTCATGTTTATGACAAATGTTGGCGGTCCGCTGGGCCTTCATAAATACTGAAGGTTTGGAGGTTCTGTTTGCGGTCAAGAGGTGTCTGGTAAGAGGAAAGCAAACGAGCAACATCCATCCAGCACATGAAGCAACAGTTTACTGCAAAATTAACAAGGGACAGACGCCCAAGTCCATAGGGTACAGAATAAAAACATTTCTGGTCCAATGCATCTTGTAATGTTTTCTTGAATAATATTATTATTCATACTATAAGTCCGTGCATCAGAGTCCATGTGGTTTCTGAGTTCCAGGAGATTAGAGACACATTACTCAACATGTCGACAACTAATAATGATTAGCGATCACGTTTAGCACGTCCACACCTAAGAAGAGATAACAGAATAAATTGTTAGAGCTCATACACAGTGAAAGATCTGATTCCAGTAGAAAAGGTCCAAGGAATAGTGTACATGGTCTTGTTTTAAATTAATGCTCTTCTTTTGAACTTTCTATTCAAAGAAGAAAAAAAAAAATCACAAAAATATTACGCAGCTGTTTTCAACATTGATGATATTAAGAAGTGCTTCTTGAGCAGCAAATCAGTATATTAGAATGATTTCTGGAGAATCATGTGACACTGAAGACTGGAGTAAAGGTCTTTGCACACCGAGTTTGAAATTCTCGTCCGAAATTTTCGCACGTTAAAAAATAAATGCGACCTCGCGTTGTGCCAGTCACGTTTACACACTGCCTGTCTGTCATAAATTCATATCAGGTTCAATTTTCTGTGTTTTTGCATCTATAGCAAGCATTTTGATAGGAAAGGATGACGAATACGGGCGAAAAAAAAAAAAAAAAAAAACGCACAAAAAA